GAAGACATCGAGCAATTCTACGAGGAACCGGAAGAGTAATGCAGAAGAGGACTATTCACACGACTGTCCAATGAAAGGTCTACGCAGTGGTCGGAAAAAGAGCGAACGAAACGGAGGTATTTATCAGCAAATACCATAAAGGCAAATGCAACGAACATGAAGATCGCTTCACAGCTTTCGTTGAAAGCAACAGCCGCCGCGTTTTCGCGTTTTCCAAAATCTTGAAAGAGGATAGTGGTCATTTAAAAGCACACGTTCGAAAAGTTTTTGAACGAACTCGATTGCATGCTGAATGAAAACAAACGAATCATAGTGACGTGTCGGTCGTAGGCGAGAAAATTATCTCTGCAGGCTTTGACGTTCCGCAGTCGCGATCGACGTATCGCAAAAGAAGAACGAGTCAAAAAGCCAATAGACCAGCACTTTGTTGAAAACTGAACTTCGATCCGGAGGCTTTCGTTAAACAGCTGCCATTAATGAAGCTTGAAATGGACATCAATGGAAGTATCGATGCGGATTATGGCCATTTTAGAACATCTAAGTCAACCACATGCTGATGCATCAGGCCTTCAACAAGGCAGCCGATGGCTAGAAAAGCACAACTAATTACCGAAGGGAAATTGGACAACATGCCGTGCAAAGGGAAGTTGAGGAAAAACTAAAAAATTGCTAAAGAATTCGATGAACTGAGGTTAGGTAACAGAAGAGAAGTGTGCACGCGATGTACACCTTTGAGCAACGCATTCTGAATGCATCAAAAACGGAAGAGGGAGCAGCTGCAATCGGATGAAGACCAGATACACAAAGTTATGCAGAAATCTGTTCTTTACCAAAACTGGCGTAGATCGGAATTTGCCACACGTCTCCCCAGAAGCCGTTTTTAAATAATAGAAGGATGTTTCTGTCGAAGCTCAGACTCTGGCACAGGATCGAGAACGTTGAAAGCTCTATTTGACGCGTCAGCCTTCTCTACCCAAAGGAGAAGCGGCCAAGGAAATTGAACTGAATACCTTAATGTTGTAAAATCATCATCTCAAAAGTCTAAAATGGCATAAAAACGGTTTGTTTGTACGTAACACAAACGAATAAGTTACTTAATCGGGTAACCTGTACCGACATCGTTTCTAACGAGCCTTCTTCAGAGTGGTTCCGATTAGTTTCGGCAGTTGTTTTTGTTGTCCGCAGCTGCTGTGGCGTCTGAAGCCGAAGGTACGCTTTTGCCTACGCTGCTCATTAAGCAGTTTTTGAGTCACCGAATTGAAAAGGCTTGTCGAATCCGTGATCCGTTCCCTTCTTCTAATTTTCAGGGAATTTTTGCCGTCAGCATGTGGTGAAAGAGTTCCTAGAACTTTATCAGCATGCCATCACCAACGATCTTGATCAGCTCTGTTTGGATCCCGTCGACACTGCAGACTTTTTCTACCTTTAAACGCTTCAAATCTCTGCGTAGTTCGTCTGTGGCCGGTGGTGGATTATGGGATATTTCCGGTGCCTTTTGACCACTGCCAATGTCCAGTGAATCTGACTGATCACAAGAGTTCAACAGGCTTTAAGAATGCTCCGCC